CTGGAGCCGAGCGCTGCGAGATGTGTTTGGACTGAGGTTGTGTTCAGACTTCGCGACTGCGCGCTACCGTTGCGGCCATGCAAACGGTAGCGAATTGTGAGCGGCATCACCTATTGGATGAGCTGTGCCAATTGTCCAATTCATCGATGAACGTACCTTTTTTGTTAACAAAATAAGCTAGACTGAGGATCATAGCTATTGCTGCTGTGTTGATGGCCATCACAATAACCGTATAGGCTACGACGACATGGTGAACGACAGCTAAAATAAAGGATCACTGGATTGTGCTTCTGCAAAAAGACCCTCCCCCTTCACCAAACATGTCGAAAAGAGGGGAGACGGCAAGAGAATCGTAAATCGCCGCTTCGTCGCGCGCGGCAATGGACGCGACGTTTTCTCAATTTGCACTACCTTTTCGACTGGAGCATCGGATTTCATGTAGACAAGGACATGGTAGACATTTGTGTCCATTTTTGGCCATTCATTTTCTAATCCGGATCGATACCACCTGAAATCGTCGTTATTAGCGGGTGCAAAGCGCACGCGACACCCATTGGCACGGCAAACTACAATTCTCTTGCCACACAGCCCGAAAAGACATGGATTGTGACCTCCAAGTAGTATTCGCGACAGTTATCTATATTACTGAAATCCTACCAGTTGGCGGTCTACAAGTGACCTTGGGGTTGCTTCCACGGAAATACGAGGCAGCGAAAGTCAAAGTAGCTACAATAGCTGGCGGTAGACACATCAAAATGATGTATGGTTTTGTCGGCCACATCTTGTGCCTAAATTATTTATATAGGAAACTCTTAGCATTGGTTTACTCTCGTGTACGGGAAGAATGCTTGGAAAGAGGAAAAATACCTTCAGCGCAGCTAAAAAAGGCGGAAATACAAGGCGTAGGAAAGAATGTAATGAGTGCAACTCAAAAAAATTCCAGCATGATGTGCCCGCATAACGTTACCGACCTGCAGACGCTTTGGCGCGTCTGGTTTCGACCCGGCTGAAGCCGCGCCAAAAGCCAGCCCTCACACCCAAGGTCGTTTCTGTGCGTAACGATGTGTTACTTACTTATTCCGCACACAATTTAACTTTATTTCAAGCAAATGTCACTCACTTGAGTGGAGCTACGACCGCGATGAGCATATCTAGTGATAACATGAAATACATGACCGACTGCGCTATGAACGAGAACAAGTAGACAGCGATCATACGGGCAAAATTACTGCTTGATCAACTGCCATTCTGCTGAAAAAATGATTGTTTCAATCTCAATATCAGAAGAACTGAATCATATGATCAAAACCCACTTCCAGTAAACGCGAAGATTTCCGAGTTCGGATACCAAGCAGACAATTTGAAGGAAGCAAAGGATTGACATCAAGTAACCTGGCAACCGATAGTGCTGTTTGCGAACAATGGAGCATTGGGACTGGCTTAGCCTCAATTCCTGTTCGCTCTTCGCTCACTACATGAATTTCTTTCAAGTTCGCCAGTAAGGTGGGCAAGCCGATCGAATTGCGACAGGCGATCAAGTCATTTCGTTTAGGTTTCTTTCGTCATTGTGCACACTCGTCCGAGCATGCATAAATGAAATAAACTGTAATAAATAAGTGGATAACTTTCTTCTTCACAGAAACGCTTTAAATAATCCAGGGCGGAGCTTGCACTTGAGAGCGAGCACCAAATGGTACTAAGCAAGGCTATTTCAGGCCACTTTATGAGTTCCTGTGATGGTCTGAGACCAAAACACTTTTGCACTTTCATTACTTCCTTTGGGCTAATTAACAGGTTTCACCAAAGTGTAACCTGTTAATTAGCTCAAAAGAAGTAATGAAAGTGCAAAATGCCTCCCCAAGCCAAACAGCGCCGAAGTTCCGTTGGAGACAATTGACAAGATTAAGATAAACAGCAACGCATAAAGCATGCCGTATAAATCTTTCAGATTTGGCACGCAATCGAAAACGCTTCCAACCAGCGCTTGCGGTCACAGTGAAAATGAAGGGAAATGGGAGGATCGGGCGTGATCATGCCGAGATGTACCTAGCTCTAGCACGGCCCATTTTTTTCTCTCTTACTTACTTCTTTTTTTTCAAGTATTCAGTAATGTTCCACTTACCCGCTTTTGTCCGCAGGGAAGTGTCACGAATCGTTGCTATGATCACATTGAGATTTCCGAATAAGCCAACAGAGTTAGCAATTACTATGAGAACAGTGATGAACACAAGATGAGGAATGGAGTACATTCAGATCTGCCTGAAAATGCACAATGCGTTTCCAGTGTATAACTCTGAAAACGGTTCTCCTAGTCAGCTTATTGTTATGTTCATTACACTGCAGAAGGCAAGGGCGAGAAGTAACTATTACAGATGTCTAAACAAAAGAGTTGCATAAGTTTATAGCATTTTAGATAAAAATAGACATAAAGTCCCTCCAGTTGAACACTCTCTTTTGTGGGTGGCGGCACGTATACTAGTCCCATTCTGAATCATAGTGGCTTATTGAATGCCGTCACAATGACTTGCAGGATACAGACGATGTGAAAGCCAGTGTTCTCACTTTCTCGGATGATTTTGCTACCAGCTCACCGTACCCGGAGAGAAGAGGGGTAGTTGTCCTGGGCGGGAGCTGTTATGGGTTCTGATCCCCAAACATTCATAATTTTCTTCGGTGAATAATACGAACTGAGCATAGTTTGATGACGTATTTCGAGCACCCGTTTTCAAAAGTTCATGGGCGCCTCAGGATGGAAGACAACAGAAGAGAATTTTCGCCAACATTGTACAATTATGATACCGTGGTTGTACTTTATAGAAAGATAAGATCTGTTCAATATGTGTTGATGATTTAGGCTTACTTAGCGAGTAAGTAGACCATAAACCCATGACCTAACTGGCGCCGTTTTCCGGGCTTGTTATACTCTTGAAACACGCTGTATATGACACTTAGAAGTAATCAAAGGGACAGCCTGTGCTGGTCGCATGAGGGACGACAGTGAGTCTGTGCTAGGTCTCCCTCATTTATGCCGTGCTCGGTTACAACAGTAAAGGAGAAAGGCACGACGGCGAGGAAGCCTGACTCCGCCCAAACACTAATCGCGTACCACGCTTCCGACAGGCAAAATAA